TATAGGTCCACAATATCGTATATCCCCCCATATATCGGCACCTTCCTATATTAGATATTTTAAAGGTTTTAAAAGAATTTTTATTGGATTTTATTTTTTTTTGAAAATTTTCTAATTCGTTCCAAATGGTGGAGGGTATTCAAAATTCGGCCCGGCCGAACTTACTGCTTTTTTACTTGTTATTATTACGGTTTGCTTGCCTAAAACATCACATGGCTCATATTAAATGTTTTGTGTTATCTGCAGGCACAAGTAGTTTTTAAATGCTGGCTTCCTTAAGCTCAAAATTAAAGAACTTTGTTTTACTTTTTACAAGATCATCTGATCCACTAATAATCGTTATTAATACGGTTCACACGAAATGATACGTTATCAACTTATGACAGATAGGATTGTTCGTATTAAAATGTACGTTGTTTAAATACACTACACGCTGAACCTAAAAAATAATTTTAATTTAAGAAAATTATTTTAGTATATTTATATCTTTTTGTTGTCTAATCAAAATTAGATTTCATTTTTTTAAATATTATTATGATAATAATGACTAATGAGATAATGACTTTGTATGGGCCTAAGTACGGCGATTGATGTTTCTTTCTACTCATTAATCTTAACAGAACTAAGTCGCCCTGAAATAGAAGCAGTTCCCCATTTTTTTGTAAACTCTTTTAATATATAATTTTTTTCTAAATATTCCATAGCTAATACGAAAATCTTAAACTTTGTTTCATCTCAGTACAAGAGTCTTCTATGTATTGAGTTTTATTTCGTTCTTTACTATCATTTAGTAGGTATGGCAGTTTACTGAAAATTAATTCATATGGTGTGTAGTTTGTGTTGACATGTGGTGAAGTATTGTACGGAAATGGAAAATATGGTATCCAAGCAACACATTCATCGAATTTGGCAAAGTTGAGTAGGAAGTCATTATGTACTCTATGACTTCGTTCCACGCAACCCAACGCCTCGTGATGATACGGAGTACTAAATATTAATTAGACTTGCAACAAGGAAGTAACTGATTCAAATACTCATTCCCATTATCTGATTTAAATATTTTCCATAGGACAAGCTACCAGACATTTGTTGAGTTCACATTGTATAGTTAATACATATCTGAAAACATTTGATACTTTTCTTTAGTGTGTCTGTTTTGTTTATTTATTTTGCACTTTGGACAGTTCACAACATATTTCCTTATTATTGTGGACATGTTCCTGCAAATATATCGATGTTTCAGTTTTAACGAAGTTTTGCTGATGCCAAATTTATAATAGCACAGGGTGAGATGAAAAAACTGCAACCAAATTCAGACTGCTGTCATTTCAAAAAAACTCTTCCGACAGTTGTTAAAATTATTCCAGTGACACCTCATTATATTGTTTGCAAGCGTACAAAAGCACTTTAGTGAGAGTTTTCTAGAAAAAAGGTTTTGTGATGGAATTTAAGCGTGATAGTATGATTTCTTTATAATTGGCTGGAAAAACAAATGTGGCTATCGTTAGAGCACTCCAGCATTTAAATGTGAATAAATCTTTTGTGTCTCGTGCCATCGCTCATTACCGTGATACTGGTAGCGTAGCCCGGCGTCAAGGAAGTGGACGAAAGAAAACAGCAACATCAGCAGGAATGGTTCGAAAAGAAGCGACTTAATCGAAACCCGCTTAGCAGAGCCCGGCTCGTGAGTTGAACATATCGCAATATTCCAATCGGCAAATATTGAAAAATGGGCCGGGGTAAATACATTGAAATTCCAAAAAGTTCAAGAACTAACACCGCAAAAAAACAAACAAAATGATCGTGCTTACATGCCAAAGAGGTCAGCTGAAAATGTGCACTTTTTGGTTGGCAACCAGAACTCAAGCGGCGGCCATGGTTTTGGTGTGGGCCGCCATAACATCCGATGGTCGCTCTCCGCTCGTATTAATCGACGGTAAAATTAATGCCGACTATTATCGCGAAAATATTCTGGATTGTATATTAAAACCTTGGGCACGCAAACATTTTAGCCGCAGACCTTGGACATTGCAACAGGACTCAGCACCATCGCACTCAGCACGCGCCACCCAAGAATGGTTACAAAATGAGGTTCCTCGTTCTCATTTCCAACGCACAATGGCCACCAAAATCTCCGGATACCAATCCGTTGGACTATTGTGTCTTGAGTATTTTTGAAAGCAAGGTTGGCACTAAAAAATACCTGAGTGTCGATCAACTCAAGCAAGGGCTTCGCCGGGAACGGGCCAAAATACCGAAGAGGAACATTAAGGCAGCGTGTGACGGTTCCATTGGCAGTTTGAAGGCCATAATTCGCGCCCAAAGTGAACAATTCGGACATGTCTAAACTTATTGATGCTATTTCCGACATCTTTTGTTTTCATTTAATAATATTTAAAAAATTTAAAAATTAAGGCCTTTGACTTTGTTGTAGTTAAGCTCAAAATTAAACAACTTAGTTTTAATTTTCGAATATCATTTGTCTAATATTTGGTATTAATAGGGTTAACACGAAATTATATATTATCATTACATCAACTTAGACAACGTACGTGATAGAGCGAAAACATAACGTTGTGTACGTGATAGAGCGAACCATTCAATAGCCTATACAATAAGTTCAGCTTAACTAGAAAATAAAATTTAATTTTGGGTTTAATTTCCAACGAAAAGTTTTCATTTCGGTTGCAAAAAGTTTAATTTAATTAGAAAATGCTATGTTTCAATGCCTGTGCTTCCCAATCGAAATCTACTAACTTCTTCTCATAATCTGTAGCATTCAAAACTTTCACACGGTCTCTGTCATTTGCTGATACTAAGCAATTAGCAAAGAAAATTTCTTTCGTTATTCCATCGTTAAGGACCACACTATCTTCTTCTACTTTTATATCAAGTGGTAAGATAGCTTCAGATCTTGACATTATAATCTGCTTGTTGTGAGTTGGCTTGGAGTTCATCGGCAACACATATTTCTCGTTGATAATAAACGAAATCGTGTTTCAAAATTTATTTTACAATAATAGATAGCTTAAATATGTCGCCCGATGATACCATCCGTTTGTATCTCCTACTTTGTAGAAATCAAGAAATAACGCTTCGTCTATTCCTTTTTCCAAATATGATGTACCAATGCACTGGATCGCCTTCTTTGTTATTCCTGTTAGTCTATCAGTATATTTGGGATAAAGGTTGGAAAATTGTCGTCTCCCGTGTCGATTAAAAATGTTAATACTTTATCGGCGCAATGTAATCGCATAAAAATGTTTGCCATTAAAGTTAAATTGAACATTCTTAATCTTGAGCCTCGTGGATGAATTCCTCCACCATATTACCATCCAAGTTTCTCTGTTGGCGAGTACACGTTAAATTCTTATGGTTTGTAGCACATCCATCCTTCTATTTTCTGTCTCCTCGTTTATATGTTCGATCACCCTTCTTTGATTCAACGTTATGTCTAAAACGAGAATTTTTATAATAATTATTTGCTTAATTTTATTTTACTCTCTAAATTCCTTATAAACCTGCTGATGTACAGATGATCGGGTATAATTATTTGTGGTATATAGCAAGTCGTGAACTAACATAGCCCATTTACGAACTTGCCTGTTGACAAAATACACATATGCACTAAGTTTAAGCCATATATCTAAATTCGTTCGAAAAATATCTTTGGTGCAACAGACAGACACATCTAAATCGACATGAGTATTTCGAGGAATTACGGAATGAACAAGTTAATATTGCCTCTATAGAATGGTGGAGGGTTTTTGTGGTATCTACTTCCAGGTAAATATGTACCTACTTCGTTTCCTTTCATATGTTACAAAATTTCTTAAATGCTTCCATCTTACCACAATCATTTATATCTATAAAATAGTAAAATGTTTGTACGTTTGATTGTTTACTTTATTTTTTAAACTCAAAAACTTCTAAACAGATTTTCCCTCCAATTTCAAAATATACACAGCATCGCCTGAAAGTAATATAGGACATATAAATATTTCAAAAATAACTTGGGACTGGAGATATAGCATCAGAATCAGAGGTGCCTCAAAAAAGTTAGATTTCGTATGCACATATCTATTGATTTAGAACATGTAACGGGATAAATTTGAAATATGTTCAGATTTGGATTTAGCTTTCATGAATATTTTCAGCCTGATGCACCAAACACTATATGTATGTCCAATTTGCCATGAAATTCGGAAATTTGTTCATTATATTGAAATATTCAGATTTGGATATATCTCCTACATACACTTTGGTCAATTTTGTGTATATGATACACCAAACTCGCTATGTATTTCAAATTTCATTGAAGTGGGTGGAGGACAGAACTTTGTCTAAAAATAAGTTTGTCAAATTGTATTAATCGGTACAGATTTGGATATTATTTTATTTTTTATTAATAAGGCCACCACCCTTTTGCAATGGTAACAGTAACACAACAATTTGATTGAATCGACGACTATTACGGGGAAATAGTAGGTTGCTGTTTGCAGTACGTATTGGATTTGAAAAGGAAAATTAATAAATCTCAAGGGTAAACTTTTTTGTATGCGTACTAAATTTAGCATGATCCTGATTTTCTCATGGTTACCTGCACATGGCATATTCACGCGTTAGTATAAAGATCGATTTGTTAGTTTATGCTCCAGAATGAAAACCCAAAAAAATATTTACTATCCCAGAGGATTACATTAAATTCGATTTTTATATTCTTGAATTTGTTTTCTTTTTATTCAAAAAACACAAAATATTCACATGTAAAATCAAACGGGGAAGCGAAGCGCATCTGCTTCAGCTAGTTATCTGTTAAAATAAATTATCTATAAACTGCTAGACGAAGATTTCCTGGTCTATATGTTTTTAGTAAAAAAGACTTAAGTGCTATAGATGATGTTTCTGTGTGCATAAAGTTTACCCATATCATAAGGTAATATGTGTTTATTATAAAATATTTCTAATCAAACCAATAATTAATCTTGACATATTTTTAGGTCGTAAAACACTGGTTTCGTAACACTTTGTTTAAGGAACGTCAGAGAAATAAAGATTCGCCAAACATGCGAGTACACGTTAAATTCTTATGGTTTGTAGCACATCCATCCTTTTATTTTCTGTCTCCTCGTTTATATGTCTGATCACCCTTCTTTGATTCAACGTTATGACTAAAACGAGAATTCTTATAATTACTATTTGCATAATTTTATCGATTGTAGTTGTAACTACCTCTAATTTATGATTTTCTTCTACGGTAATCAGCTTTTTTACTGTCATTATTATATCAGTTTTATTGAGAGTTGTTATCGTAACTGTATCATATATTATTGTTATAGTTACTGTTCGTTGCGGTCGGTGTTGTTTCTGTATATGTTTGAGTATTTTCTGCCACAATTATCATGATTATCGTGTCTATCATCATTCCTTCCCTCATGCTTCTTTAGTTTCTTCTGAAGGACTCTCCAAATTCCCTATTTCAAATTGATTTAACTCATCACAAAGCTATTATATCCTCTCTCTGAATGAAGTCACTGAACAATGGCCTAGCTTGGTAGTATCCAACTCCATTAATATATGTTGCAATGTTCTCGGATTTGGATAAGCATTCTGTAAAAGTTTCTTTGGCTCAACAAAAGTATTTGGTTTATTAGAGCGGCCTAATAAACCTGCTGATGTACAGATGATCGATATTATCGGTGTTCACACTAAATAATATCTTGACTGACTAATAGGGTTGTTCCTCTTAACAACAAGACAAGGAAGACAAACAGAACTAATTATTAATACAAAATAAATAAACTAAAAAAATTATGGTTTTTAAATTAAATTCCAGTATGCGAGGTGTATGCGTCACTTTTGTCATTAGGAACATTCAATCCGAATTTCCATCAATTCTATAATATGGGGCTAAAATAGTCAAAATACCATAAGTAGCGACTAAGTGATGGAAGATACAAAAGTTGCAAATCCCGAATTTAAAGTTATTCCATCCCGCTAGAAACAGAGGCTAAAATCATTCAAATGCCGAATATGTTCTGCGTTGCAGAACCCAACATAAACTCTAAATGCTGAATTTCAGGCTTTTCCGTTAGAATGTGTGTCTGATATTAATGAGGTCGACTCCTAACCTCTTCACAAAGCGATGTAACTAAAGAAAGAAAAGGAAAACACTGCGAAATTATGTTTCTCATTCCGTGGCTGGAAGGGAACTCTATTTATTTGCAACATATTCTTAACACTAAAGCTTACATCTAATACATTTACACATGCATTTTATTTACTAATGCACGCTGTGCATTAACGCACACATTACGTTAATTTGTGATCGACCCCTTTCTTATCTTTTATTTATGGCCGTGACATTTATTACATTATTTATTACCGACCACAAACATAGCATATGGAAAAAACATGCATATTAAGTGTTTCCATTATTTAACTAATTTACATTCTTCGGAAAAGACAAATAAAATTGAGATAAGAATTAAAAGAAGAACATAAGAACATTCAACACACAAACTTTTTTTACAACATGTACAATTTCTACAAAACTAAACAGATATAATCAGAATGGTGAGGTACCGTACTACTATGGGAAACCATGAATATATATAGACAATGTTCTGACACAGGAGCTGGAATAAATTATGAGATATAAATACTGAATTTCCAATTATTCCGTCATCCATTTATGTATATTCAGTTTTAGTATCCAAAGCCGAGTGTTCATACACTCGCTTCAACAAAGTAAATCTGTGTTAATAACATTTAGGAATAAATTATGTGTTCTGATTAACTTTCACACAAATAAGATTTATACTTGGGTGGTTTGCCTCTTTTCTCCCGAGCTTTATGGCTGAAGAATTCCAGATGCTTTTATCATTGTCCGAATCTTACATATTTGGTTCACAGCCCACAACATACATATATATATAAAAGTATTCTGCCTTAAAACTATAACATAACAACGATCGCACTGATGTTGCTTCCGTTGCCAATGCTTAATCAATATTTCGAAACAATAAATTCTGAATCAGCTAAACCAATAAAATCAATAATATACAAAATAAGCATAATCGATAATATACGGAATAAGCATAAACAAAACGTTTTTTAAAGTCAACAGAAAGCAGCAACAATGTTACACAACATTGTCGCCGTATCTGTCAACTTAGCATTAATACAAAATAAATTGTCAAAAAGAACTTGAATACATTTAGTCTTAAGATCACAGAAGAAGAATAAAGTGGCATTAAGCCAAAGCACTTGTCATTTTAATTTTTTCATACCCGTAATTGGATCAGTCGCGAAACTTAGCATCAAAGGATACTAAGAAAAGAACCAGACATTAAAATTAGTGTGTCAAAACCACTAACAACAGCTTGTTAAAAACAAAAAAAAAAAAAATAAAAAATAAAAAAAAAACAGCGAAGATTTTATCTAAAAATTTATGAATAGACATGAAGTTTTCGACGCAAATCGAAATTTACAAATGGAACAAGAACAAATTAATGAACTAAGTGAAGTAGTTAGAAGGCAGGAAATGGCTATCAACCAACTTCATCAACAGCTGCAACAGCAGCAAATACAACAATAAACACAAGAACCTGAACAACAAATCTTGCTTACTCCGAAAGACATATTGGCACAATTTCGGCAACTAAAACCGCTAGACAAGGACCATTCGGTGACAGCATTTACCGCATCCGTGGAAGCAATACTTGATTTATGCCCCAGGAATAACCAGCAGCTAATACGTTTATCCATGGCCATCGTGATGAATGAAAAAAATCTTGGAACAACAGGAAATTACATCCGGGAGATAGGACCTGACGCATCTTGGCAACAGATAAAAACTAAGCTGATGGACTATCACCGTCCAAAATCAACATATGGGGACGTATTTAATAAGTGTCGTAATGTTAAAGTGAGTAATTTACGAGAATTATTTAATTATTTTGAAAAGGCTAAATACGAACTCAGCCAAATATATCTTTTTGATGAAATGAAACCACAAATATATGAACCCAGCAGAGTGGACAAAGATTTAGTTAATATATTAATTGAAAAAATAGATATTCCCTTAAGGTCTCATATAGACCAAAATAGTACTCTGAATGAAGTTATTACAAGGTATACTCAAATAAGAGCTTTGGATGACCCAAGAGTCATTCACTATAGACACAAACAAAAAAATACTCAAAATCAATCAACTAATCAACCACATGAAACTAATACTAGCCAACATTCAAAACGACCATACCAAAATCGTATTAACACTAACCAACAAAGAAACAATACACAAGATAACAATACTGGATTTCAACACAGGAATAATTATAATAATAGACAAAGCTCGGGGCAAACCCGAAATTCTCATATGAGTATAGGGACTCAATATACTAATCGTGATAATGAACCCATATATATGGAGATAGACACCACTCAGGAAGAAAGAGTCGAAACAGAAAATGAATTAAATTTTTTGACATTGCCTCAAGGGCACAATTACCCTTAGAATCATTATCAATAGGAAAACAGAAGATTAGGTGCCTAGTGGACACAGGTTCAACCACTAGCATCTTAAAAGAAGGTATTCTTAAAGAAGACTACCCAATGTCAGAATTAAAAAATCCATGGGTTTACAAAACCCTTAGTGGGACCAAGGAAGTAAAATATGAAGTAGTAACACCGTTCTCAAAGGAATTAAAGTGTGAGGGTAACTTGCAATGGAAAATAATACATTTTTCCAACAAAAATTTTTCTGGCATAATTGGTCAGAATTTTCTAACGGGAATTAAAGCTAAAATAGACAGCGAACTAAAATTCATAGAAATGCTGGGTCAAAAATTATATTTCGAGGAATACATATACCCAGAGTATATGGACGATATCTGTACACTCGAATCAATAGAAAACGACAACATAGATAATTTCGACTTAAGCCATTTAAACTCTGAAGAGAAACAGCTAACCCTAAGGTTACTATTACTATTTACTATTACTATTTTAAAGATCTCTTCTTTAGAGAAGGAGACAACCTTTCAGCGACACACGAAATATTTCACGAAATAGTTACAACTACAGACAAACCTTTATATTCAAAAACATATAGGTATCCGCAGATACACGAGTCGGAGATAAATCGTCAAATTGAGGACATGCTTAGGCAAAATATAATACGAAAAAGTAATTCACCATACAATAGCCCACTATGGATTGTGGACAAAAAATTGGACAGCTCAGGGATAAGGGGGATCGTTATCGATGACAGGAAACTAAATGAGTTCACAGTGGATGATAAGTATCCCATTCCAAATCTAAACTCATTATTGGACAGACTGGGTAGAGCCCAATACTTCACAACTCTTGATCTGGCGAGAGGCTTTCACCAGATATTAATTAGAGAGGAAGATAGAAGAAAAACGGCTTTCTCTACACCTTGAGGTCATTACGAATTTGCTCGAATGCCTTTTGGGCTGAAAAATGCCCCCACGACTTTCCAAAGGTTGATGAATGTGGTCCTTAAGGATCACATCAACAAAACATGTATATATGGATGATATCCTTATATTCAGTACATCACTCCAGGAGCATATGGTCACTTTGAGGAAAATATTAAAAACCCTACGTAAAGCTAAGCTTAAAATACAAGTTGACAAATGTGATTTTTTGAAGAAAGAGACTCAATTCTTAGGTCATGTATTAACCGCTAAGGGTATAAAACCAAATCCTGATAAAGTCTCTATTATTCGAAAATTGAGAATACCAAACACTGCAAAACAAATAAAATCCTTTCTGGGAATGACCGGTATTATATAGGAAGTTCATCAAAGATTACGCAAAAATTGCACACCCAATGCCTGAAAAAAGGTCAGTTAATAAATATCAACGATCCCAATTATTTGGTAGCGTTCGAAAAATTAAAAGATTTGGTGAGGAACACCCCAATACTGAGATATCCAAATATCTATAAGAAATTTAAAATAACTACTGATGCTAGCGATTTCGCAATCGGGGCAGTACTTTCTCAAGAAGGACACCTAATTGCCTATGCATCTCGTACATTAAACAGACATGAATGTAATTATGCTACGGTGGAAAAAGAATTACTCGCCATCGTCTGGGCTGTAAAATACTTCAGACC